AATTCGGGTTGCGACCAGAGTCACGGAACGAATTAAGTTCGTAAACCGAGGTTCCACTGTAATGGGTTCGGAACAAGGCAACCGAACCTCGTCCAGGGCCTTTTTAGGCACTCTGGAACTAATGCTAAGATTTCAGATTAGCAGGGGGTTTTAAAAACACATGCCTCAGATAAAGCCATTTGAGATCCATGGGCTGCATGATAAACTTTTGCAACCTTCTCCTTATTAGTTGCGATGAAATTTAACATCACACCTTTCGGATCTCTTTCCCCAGTGTTTAACATATTAAATATCGGTTAATACTGAAGAAATCTAACACTCTCATTAACATGAAACAAAGCACTTTTTTTTTTTAGTTCTGGTCCTACCATTTTTCAGAACAGCCTGTCAAAGGTGGATCATGTGGATCTTAGCCTTAAAAAAAAAGCCAGCCTCAGTTAACCCCTTATGCATTAAAAATACACATTTAAAACTGAAAACAGAATGGAAATCAATTACTTGTTCCCAAACTGGCATGAGAGCATATCCTATTCATAAATGGACTGTTTTAATTTGGACTAATTGGTTTTCAAAAGTTTTCAAAGGCAGCCTATATGCAGTGCATTGATCATGGTGTTCTGACTATCTCAGACCAGGAGAGATTCTGGTGAGTGAACCTGCTTGGCTAATAAAAGGGTCTTCAAGCCATAGAAACCTCTTGGGTCTTCAGAATAAAGACTAGTTCTGAAATCATCTCAGACTCTTTTAGTTAGAAGGCAGAATCATTCAGAATTAGCCTTTTGCATAGCCCAGTTCAGATGAACCACCTTCAGCATCGCAGTTTTTTCTTTGTTGGTCTCTTTTGATGCAGTCCGTTATTATTCCTGGACGAGAATGACAGAATATTATTTACATGAAGATATACTATATATACGTTAGGTATGCAGAGCTTGTATAAACAAACGACCCCTCATATGTTGGGACTACAACTCCTAGGATCCCCCAGCATGTCTACATTATCCACTAGGCACAATAGGCACAATGTCAAGGGGCTACAAAATGTTTCCAGTTTTAAGAAAATCCAAAAATACGAAAAATAACCATAAAATTAAATTTTGACTATCCTAAAATTGAATATATTTAAGTTATTATTATTACTTTATTAGACATGTAGTTCTTGTGACTTCTTTCCTCCAACTTATTGAAGAATATACAGTAGGTTCAGGGAATACTTTTATAACACTAAGCATCTGTATTATTGCTGGAATGAGGACCTGCAAAGATAAACATGCTTGAAGCCTACAAAAATAGTTAATTCAGCCTGTTCTCCAGGATGGAGGCCTGATTCTCCAGATTAGAGAAGGCTGGTTTAATAGTCTTCACAGCTCAGCCTCCTTGTCCTTGTATCTTGATTCTGTCTTGCTCTAAGAATTATAGTGAGCTTCTGTTCTAAGTACAGTGGTACCTCGGGTCATGAAATTAATTTGTTCCGTGACTCTGGTCGCTGCCCGAATTGGTCGTGACCCGAATCAAATTTTCCCATAAGGTTCAA